GGCCAGCTGTGCGTGCCCCATCCCTGGAGGTGCCCAAGGCCAAGGATGGGACCCTGGGCAGCCTGATCTAGTGGGGGGCACCCAGCCCATAGCAAGGGGTTGGAACTGGGTCAGCTTTAAGGTCCCTTCCAATCCAAGCTGTGCCTTCATTCTATGATGGCTTGCTCCAGCTCAGTCCTATTTTAGCCAAAAAAAGAGTGGAAATTCCCACAGCCAAAAAGACAATGAGATATGCCTGCTGTACAGCATGTGGCATTGCTCCTGCTCACTCCTGACCTTTTGTCTGCAGACCTTGGAGGGCTTTTGTCTGCACGCCGCGCACCTCGCTCCATGTCCTCGCATCTCCCTTCGCGTGCTCCTCTTCAGAACAACCCAGACATGCTGTTTCCTTTTCATCCTCCGTCGTGAAAGAAGATGTGGTTCCTCCTTCAGCTCCTGTCCTCTCACAGTAATCACCTCTTAGCAGAAAAGAGCCATTTCACAACACGCCGTTGTCTTTGATCCTATGTTTGCTTTCTCAACCTACGCTATCTCAGGGTTTTGCTCATGAGTGCCTGAACATAACACATCCTATTACATTTTTTCATAGAGTTCATAAGCATTTGCAAAACTCCTGCTTTTAACACCAGCAATGACAAAAAACAGGTCGTTTTCTCCCCAGTTTCCCATTAAATGCCATTTCAGCATTTTCAATTTCGAGGATGCCACCCTGTAATTTCACAGTATTAACCAGAGACCTGAGTTTGACTTTTCAGCTCTTCTGCCTTCCTTTGAGCAACTTTAAAACGATTTTCCCAGAAGACTTCTGGGCTGTGGATGCCCTGCCACAAGACAGCAAGGGTTACATCCTTCCCTTTTACGCGTCTCTAAAAAGATCCTCCTCTTTTATATAAACCTTTTTGGGGGGGAAGGTTTGACATATTTGCAGCCCTGAAGGAGATGACTTTACAACCTTTATCTTTCCAAATATTCCTTTGTCAACAGCAAGAGTGCAGCCATGATCAGGTAATTTCTGCAGGATCTTGTATGAAGTTGACTTGGCTCTGCCTGTCATTGTAATTTGGTGTCAAATTAGCTGTTGAGCAAAATACCCAAAGTTTCCTGCCCGATTCCAGCTTTCTAAATCTGTTTTAAATGCTTCAAAAGTGCCTCTTCTCTTTAATTTGTTCCCATGGATACCATTCAGAAGTTCCATTCATTTTAGGCGTGCAACCCTCTTCAAATCTTTATCACAATCTACCAGTTGACTTCTGCTTCCTAAATTAGCCGAAGGCTCTAAAATCTAAGGCAACAGCAACAGAAACCAAGGTACCTTTTGCTCACTGCTCTCTGCAGCCACACTTTTCCCTCTGCAGAGATGAAATCCCACAGCTCTGTGCATCCCTGGGGTCCCGGTGCAGGACGATGCTCTGGTCACCCATGCCATCCTCTTGCCTTCCTCCTTTCTGCTTCTCCTCATCAGCTCCACTTCTGGTCCCAGGTAGCATCAAAGCTCAGAGCGTGCAGGTATCATTTAACAGCAGAGCTCAGAAATGCTGGAGGAGCGCTGAATGGAGCTGCTTCCTCAGTTAGGACCCCACAACAAGCCAAACGGGTTGAGCAAGAACAGCTTCCAGTGTCACATTTCAGCACAAGGCACCCAACGCCAGCTATCTGCACAGAGCACACTCACAGCCTTATCTTGCTTGAGCTCCACCAGAAGCCCCCAGTGGGGTGGGACCCAGTGCTCTGCTTGGATGGGGCTGGAGCCCCCCCCCCCCGATCCCCTAAATGTACTCTGGGAGCAGGGCTGGAAGGGAGCACACTGCTTAATGTGTCCTTACCATGCAGGTCAGTGGATGGGGTCAGGGCAGCCCTGGTAGCCTAGGGCATCCTTGCTGCTCACAGCCTTCATGTGACAGGGCTGGGTTCTGTGCCAGGCTGCAGAACATTTGGGATGGTGGGGGGGGGGAGGCAAGGGGGGACAGTGGGCATGGGTTGGGGTTGGACCGGATGATTGTAGTGGTCTTTCCAATTTTAATGATTATGTGATTCTAAGACAGAGGGGTCCATTCTTGGCATCAGGCTGCGATCACATAGATCGACTCTCTGCGGTCGTGCACCCTTCACTGAGTGCTATTAGGAACAGCTCCTGCATCCCTGATTGGGAACACAGAGCAGGTGCAAAGCAGTGGCTGCTCGCCTTTGGGCAGCGCTGCTTCAGACCATTTATCATTCAGATAGGGGAAAAAGGGTTAAACACAGCCTGCCCCCCCAGCCAGCGGTGCCTTTGGTTATCTGCAGCATGGCTGCAGGGCTACATGGTGCCTGTACATGTTCGAGGATCAAGAGTCAAGTGTTTGAATGATAAGTGATATCTTAAAAACATAAGTTTAGCAATGAGCCTTTGCCGACAATACTATACTATTAGTTAATAGGCAGAATTAACTCACTGGCCTGGGGCCAAGCCCATCACAGCCAGAGCCAGAACAGCTGAAGCTGCTTTTCACTTGGGTTTTGCTTTTATGGGATTTGCTGCTGCAGGGAGACTCCAATTTCTGTACAAATATGCTGGCATTTCCCTCCTCCCAACCTGCCCCTGGAAGCTGCACGGAGCCCGAGGGATTCAGCCAGGAGCTGAGAGCTTTCCTGCTGCACACAGGGACGTCAGTGAGCTGCCTGTTCCCCACGGGGCGTCTCTCTGCCGGCGCTCATCAGGTGCCTGCAGGCAGATTTATGGCTCTAGGTGCCACCGGGGCAACCCGTTCCCCATCCCAATTTAATGTCCCGTTCTCTCTTAGGGACACAGCTTGGTGGACAAGCCTACGGTAGGGCTGGGCTGGTGGTTGCACCATCCTGAGGTCTTTTCCAACCTTAACGATCCTATGAGTATTTTGGTTGAAGTAGCTCCGGATCCTGGAGATCCAGCCCAAATCACAGTGTGTAGGTGGTGCTGGCGATGCTCATCCTGCCCGGTGGGGAGGAGGTGGCCTCAGCCCTCCCCTCTACGTCTCCCTCCCTCCTGCTGCACCTCTTTAACCCTGCAGACTGACACAGAGCCACCTCCTCCAGGTGCGATGAGCCAAAGGCTTCATGTGCAAATACAACCTGTTCTTCCTGCACCGGGAACTGTAAATGCTGCATGCAATGAGTCACCATCAAACCCGCTTTAATGTCCTCTAGATGCCATCTCTTGTGGCTCTTGTCTGCCTGGGAACCATCTTTTGATAGGAAGCTAACACGTGCGATTGAAGTGGTGGCTGCCCCATTTCTGTAACCCCAGTGCTGCTGCTTTTCCCAGGCGTGACTTTCTCTCTGCAGCAGCATTTCAGCGTCCCATGGGTGCAGCAATCAGGGTAGAACCAACTGACTTTGCTCCTAAGTTCTCCTCGGTTCCAAGTGACACCCGATGGCAGCAAGGAGAGCGTCAGCTCCTGTGGTCTGTGACTGTCCTTTATGGAGGCATTAAAATAGGTTTGGGGTGGAATGAAAGAACATCATGGGAAGTCTGACAACACCATGGGATGGTATTGGATGGCTTTCACTTGTCCAGTCTGGGCTGCTGAGCCCCTGCGGGATGCAGGACAGGGGCTGAGGGCTGGTGGGACACTGATCCATCCAAAGCCCTTCCTAGGGACAGAGCAAGGACACGAGGTGGGAGCAGTGCTCACAGTTCACGAGTGCCTCTGAATAGCATCTTCAGGGACAAACCCATCTCCAAAGGAGAACGTACGAGCTTCAGAATCACTGCTGCAGTCAAACAATAAATCTGTGCGGTCTACTCACCAGCAGCAACAGCTTTGGGGATGCTCTGGAGCTGTAGGAGCTCTCAGAGGGGATCGGAGCCTACGGTTGGCCACACTGAGTTAAGAAAGTCGTCTGGTTTTGGCCAGCGTTGTCAGGGAGCCTTGACCTTCCCCCAAACACAAAATGAATTTACTTGCATGGGGTTGGGGCACTCCAAATGTCCAAGCTGCTGGTGCAGCAGGGTGATGAGGAAGAGCACGGTGAGACAAGCCCGTGCCTTCCATACCTCTTGGTGGGTAGGCTGGGATCCCGGGCTCTACCCGGGGATGGGGAACTACGGGTTAATGGGTGTTATGATGGAGAGAAGGAGCTGGGTCTCAGAGTGGAGAATTCCACTTGACCCCATCTTGTCCGAAGGGGAATTTTAAGTAATTCCTGTAAGTTGGAAACGAAGGGATTCCTGCTCCCAGCTCACCAGGGTCGGTAAGCCCAGAGGGTCCGTGGTTCAGAGCCCAGCTGAGCCTCCTACCACCAACTCTTGTTGTCCCTCTGCGGGCATCGGCCGGACCTCTTTGTGCCCCCCAAGGGACGCTCCACACCAGCCGCGTTTTCTGGGCCCGTAGATCGGGCCGGCACAGCCCCGGCTAGGGGTGATGCCGAGCACGGGGACGCCCCAAGCTCGGGACGGCGCTGAGCTCGGAGGAGCCCAACCGCAGCGGGGCGGAGGCCGACGGGTCCGTGCCGCCCCCGACAGAGCAGCGGGGCGGTGGGAAGGGCGGAGGCGGGGGCATCCCTCCGGCCCTCCGGGAGCTCCCCCTTCTTTTCTCCACCCCCCCTCCGGCTTTCGCGGCGCTCACTCAACCCCGAGAGGAAGATTTGGGCTGAAATCACGGCTTTCTCTGGATGATCGACAGCTCCGGGAGAAACCATCGTTCGGCGCAGGGGGAGCCGCCTCCCTCCTCGCCCCCCTCCGCCGGCCCCGCACCTCCGCCGCTCCCCACCGCCCCCCGCGCCGCCGCCGCTCCCCGCTCCTCCGCCCTCCGCCCGCCGCCCCCTCCGGCAGCG